CACTGAATGTGTTTTTACAGTAACACTAACTCTCCGAAATATTAAATTAACTAAAATAGAGTGTAAAAATAAAGCGCCTCTGTGTGTTGTTTAGCTAAATCAGGATAAAGTTACAAAGTATTATCCATTTACTCTCAAAACATTTAAAATAATTCTTGAGTTTGAGGTTATACAAGAACTTTGTGTTACATAATTAACATTTCCAAAAAGTTAAATTAACTCTAGAACAAATTGGACTCATATAAACCCTGAGAAAATGTTAAAATGTTGTTCTGTGAGAGTCAGTTTTAACCCTCCACTTTTTGCTGTGTATTAGAGTGTGGGGGGGCCATGTGAGGCTTCTTGCCCCGGGCCCCTAAATTTCTGTGGATGGGCCTGGGTGGCATTTTAGGTCAAGGTTAAACGGGCTCCACCACCACCACCGCCGCTGCTGTCGTCATCATACTGCAAAGGCATTTCAGATAATGCGTGGGGGCGGGGGCGGCGCGGGAGCAGGGGGGGATGACAGCGAGCGGAGGACCAGATCACTTCCGACAGCTCATTTCAAATGCCAGCGTAAAAGGTCAGCATTTACATGTCTAATTTGCGTCTGCCAGGCTGGAGCGCCCTCGCCGGATTATGCGCCGCCATCACTCAAATCATTAGCACGTTTAGGGACGGCTTCTGTCGCTGAATGAGAAATAAGGAGGTCCTTCATGAAACCCAGAGACATGCCCTTTAATTGGTCACAGTGCGGGTCAGTGTAGAATTGGCTTTTAAGGTTTTATTGATAACATGTTTTATAATTTTGATGGATGTGAGTTTACCTATACCTCCTGATGAAAACAAGAGTCAGTACTGATTCTGGACAACAAAGAGGATGCAGAAATGAAAAAACAAAACAAAACTATATGCCAGTCAGAAGTGCCTTGCCAAGGGAAACAACAATAGTAAGTATAGGTCAGACCTGAGATGAACTCCCAAACGTTTTAAAGGTCCTATACTAAAGAAAATGAACTTTAATGAGCTTTTAGACATTATTGAATGTTGTGGCCTCATCAAAAACATGCCTCTAGTTGTTTTTTTGTTTCATTCACACGTTTAACACAAAAACTCTGCATATTTAGGCTGAGTTCTTGCCTCAAACTGAAAACACTCCACCCACACTTCCACCTTGTGATGTCATGTGGTAATACAGGAAGTGCTCTGCCGTGTTTTCAAACTCCATGCACCTTCACTAGAATCATCTGGATCATTTCAGCTCCGGAATTGCCACTCTCCACTGAACAAAACAGAGCATTTTGATTTTGATTTGTGCGTTACTCAAATGTGTGACTGAAACGAAACACAAATCCAAGTATGTTTTTGAGGAGGTAACAACATTATAACATGGTTTAAAGCTCACAAGAGTCCATTTTGTGTAATATAGGTTAAAAGATTTCAGCTCTGTAATTTTCTGTCTCTATTAAGAACTAAAGCTAAATGGCAGCTGTAAACTTGATAACTAACTCTTCATGACATCACAAGATGGAACTCAACATTTTGAGCTTTAGAGATGCAGACAGCCTAATAAACCAGGATTCCTAACATGTGTGAATGAAACAAAAGCACAACTCCAGGTATGTTTTGCATAATATAGGACCTTTTAAAACAAACTATATGCCAGTCAGGCATGACTTACACTGGCCTTGCCAAGGGGCACAACAATAGGTCAGAACTGATGCTGAACTCCCAACCATCTTAAGAAACAGCCACAGACATAGGCTACATTCAGGCCACAACCTGAAGTGACCCAAATCTGATTTTTCACCCCATGTGACCTGTATCTGATCTTTTAACGACACAGATGTGATTTTTTCAAATGCGACCCAGACCACTTGGATATGTGCTCCTGAAACCGATACATATCAGATTTTTTGACATGCGACTTCAGTCTGAACGGTCAGGTCGCATTCATCCCACCTACACGTGACAACAACACGATAACAAGCACCTGTTGTGAGACATTACAGCCCAACACCGACACGTTTGCTCACTGAAATAAGACGCCAAAGATGTGTTTCTTCCCGCGAGAGTCGTACAAGTAGACGCTCACAAATGTACACAAACGTTCTTCTCATCATATGAAAATTGTGTCTGAACTCTGTTAGTGAAGCAGAGAAGCACATATCAGTCCCACTGCTATTGGCTGCGACTCCACACCCACACGTTCCTTTCTATGGACGTTGCTGCCACTTCCCCACAAAACGCCATGGCCGAAAACCTTGACCTTCTTCTTCTCAAACTCCTCCTTATAACAAATAAGCTGTACATGTTCTGGCTCCAATACAACAGCAACTTTAAAATCACAAGCTACTGAATGTTTAGTCTACTTCCATAAGCACTGAGCACGTTGGCTGCGTGTGACATCGTTGTGTCCTCCAATCTGCATCTGGGACACTTTTGGGATGTTTAAAGTTCACACTGGAGATCACATAGTCGCATTTAATTGGAAACGTGAACGACCTCGCAAAAAAATCGGATTTCACAAAAAAATTCTAATTAAGCATTAAACCCTGCAGTCTGAATATAGACAAAGCTCGAAAGCATACTGTATGTAATATAGGACCTTAAAAACATTATTCTCAATGTCAGTGCTCATCAGAAAAATCGCAATCAGATATTTCTCTCAAATCATTCAACCCTAATATACATAAACTTAGCAAGTACACAAAATGGCTTCCTTTTGCATCGTTCTTCCACCACAACTGTGTAAAGGCAGCCTCACTAATCCTTGGGTTGATATTTAGCAGTCAGCAGTCAAGAGCCTTTCCTTCAGCGCTAATTGAAAGACCACAGATCTTTCCCTGCCGGACCCGTAGAAAACCCATCCGTGAGTATTATAATTGGAGCTGTGGTCGGAGTAAGCAACAAGTCTTCAAGTCCCCACTGTCTGGAGAACGGCACAGCACCGAGACTGGCGACGCGACCACTCTCTGGGCCTTTTAAACTCAGCCCTGTTGCTTTCTGTAATTGGAGCCAGCACAAAGGGACAGACTGGAGTGAGACGCGTTCACCTCCGGAGATACAATGTCAGCGCGCCGTCCACAGCTCCCAGACAGCGAGCGCGAAATGATGGGCTAATTATGAGCTAGCTTAGGGGAATACAAATCAGCCCGCTAAGTCATTATCGCCACCATAACTGTCTGCATTATAACAAATAGACCCGAGCGGAGACGGAGGAGAGGCAGTGGCGAGACGGAGCAGTTGTTCTTGGCTAAAGACTTAAAGAGAATATATTACTCTGTTTTCTGATCTGTGTTATAATGTTGTTTCCTCGTCACAAACAGACCTGGAGTTGTGTTTGTATCATTGACACATGTTTAACACACAAAGCCTGCATGTTTAGGAGAGTTCTTCTCACAAACTGAAAACAATCTGTTCCACCTTGTGATGTCATGTGGTAATACACACTCCTCCCACGGTCATGGAAATCCTGGAAAAGTCATGGAAATTGAAAATGTCAAAAGTAAATTCAATGAAAATTCACCGTTCTGTTGAGTTCTCATTAGGCTATTAGGATTATTTCCGAACTTGTGTGCCTTTTGTTTAAACGAGACGACAATAAATGCATTGACAGTAGGGGTGTAACAATATCCAAGTCTCACGATACGATATTGTCACGGTATGAACCTCACGGTATGATATTTATTGCAATATCATGGGAAAGCTCATGATATGGTGGGGAGACTCACGATTAGGGATGTAAAAATATCCAAATCTCTCACGGTATAAATCTCATGGTACGATATTTATTGTGAATATTTTGTGGAGGCTAACAAAACTGTTAATATGCTACTTTTTCCTCTTAAATGTCTTGACAAGACTTAATCCAAACAATTAAGACTTAAACGTGCTTAGAACTGTTATTTGTCTGAAATGGAGCAAAGGATGATGGTCTGTCTTTTATTTATTTATTTTTTCTATTATTATTATTATTATTATATTTTATCTATTGCTGCACCATAACTGTTAATTTAAGCAAAGCGATTCGATATATTGTGATGGTGTAAAGGGTTAACATTTCACATTTAGCCCTAAATGTATGATCAATTCTACACATGTAGGTGCCATTAAGTCATGGAAAATTCACTTTGGGTCATGAAAAAGTCATTGAAATTTTGTCAGTGAAAAAGACATAATTCCGGAAGAGTGTCTGTCTAGACTGAACTTCTTACCCTTCACTAGAATCATTTGGATAATATCAGCCCTGGAATCTTGTATTCTCTACTGGACTAAACGTAAAAGGTAGCTGTTAACATGAAAACTACCACTACATGACATCACAAGGTGGGAAAGAGCATTTTAAGCACATGTAAATTAAACAAAACATAACTCCAGGCATGTTTTAGTGAGGCAACAATTTTTTAACAAGGTGTGTGTGTACATTTGTGTATGTGAGAGGTTTTTTTTTGTTTGTTTCGTTTTTTGTTTATTTTTGTTTATGTTGTATGTAGGGCAGGGTATCATTAAGAATTTGCTGATACGATACATACCTCGATACAGTGCACTTTTGGTTCGATACGATATATTTCAAATCGATTCAATACAGTTCACGAAAAAAAAATAATGGATGAATGATTGCTGTGATACTAAAAGTCTTTGTTAAACTACTTCTTGTTCAAAGTTCACATGAAACACAAACACTGTAATCATCAAAACAGTGAAAATGTCAAATGTGTTGCATCAACGAGTTTCCTTCCTCTGAACAAGCAACAAAACTGAAAATTATTTAGTAAAATATACCAAAAGATACTCTTGGCGATACATTGATACAGCAGCCCATGATATCGATACTGTATCATCACACTAAACGATATGATATAATGATATTTTTACACAGCCCCTAGTTGTGTACATACTCTCAAAATTGAAAAAAAAAAATCAAAATAAAGAATCAAGACTCCATTTTGCGTATCACTGGACCTTTAAATGAACCACAGCGTACATTTCCACTAAATCCAAATCTTTTCTCCTTTCAGGTGAGAAGCCATTCGAGTGCAAGCTGTGCCACCAGCGATCCAGGGACTACTCGGCCATGATCAAGCACCTGCGCACCCACAACGGAGCGTCACCCTACCAATGCACCATCTGCCTGGAGTACTGCCCCAGCCTGTCCGCCATGCAGAAGCACATGAAGGCCCACAAGCCCGAGGACATACCCCCAGACTGGCGCATCGAGAAGACCTACCTGTACCTCTGCTACGTCTGATCGCCCAGGGGAATGTAACCCGGAAGAGATGGGCGGAAGAGTTCGGAGGGGAGAGTTGGAGTTGGAACAAGCAAAAGAATGTTAGCAACAACGAGACTTGAAAGGGTTTCGATTTTCGACGATATTAGTTTTCCGAAAGGGCAGGGATGGTGGCGGCGAGGTGTAAGGGTGCTAAACTAAAAAAGGAAGACTTTTTTTGGACATTTTGGGGAAAGCGTCTCCAAGAATATGTTCGGAATCATCGGGTCATTCACTACATCTGCAAGTTCTTTCAGTTTCAGGTCATTTCGCGCAGTTCTGCAAATGCGCTGTGTGGTTGCTGCTGCCTCTAGGTGGACGATGTAGATTCTCAAGGGCTATCTACACCCAAGCACCAATATTTGCTCCCAAAAAGACCATTTCTTTTGGTTGTGTATAGCGTGTAATCATAGTTGAGGTCACTTGACTAAGAAAGTAGAGCACTGATTTGCTCTAAATGTATCTGTAATGAGGATTTTGCCTCTGAAAAACGTGCAGCCGATTATTGTTGCATCTTATTGTTTAAAATATGTAAAAAATGATCAAACCAGTGAGGTCATGATTCGTGATTTAATGTTTATAACCTGGACTATTTTGACAACGTAGAATTATTGCGTTGTAATTAACCCTTCCTCCAAATATGGCCAATCTATTAACTTTCTAGACCAAAAAAAAAAAAGCATCTCAAATTTCAATAGTTTTGTTTGTAGCCATTATATTATTAGATATGTAGCAATTTCTAATCCATTTGTATACTAATAATATTAATTTTTGGTAATATTATTTACCATATAGTTGTTTTTTTAATCAATTCCCTATAAAAAAAAAATTAAAATCGCTTAATTCACGATTTTCTAAATAAGCTTCAAGGTGCACTGTGTAATTTTTCTTGGAGATGTTATTCCTTTGCCTTGAATATTCCACAGTAGAGCATTAAACATACAGTATCTCCCTTGAATTTGTTGAATTGCAGATGTTTTCTAGCTCAAAAAACCTTAAAAACATGAATTCTGAACTTGCAAACTTGACTTGTTTCTCCATAGATTTAATTAACCTGTTAATTAACCGGTTTCCATAGCGATTAACATAGTTTAATTTTTATACTGTGGAATAATTAAGGGCTAATAGTAATATAGTAGGTGGCAGACCCTCCGCCGGAAAAGTTACACAGTGCACCGTTCATGTTTTGTCAGGACACAAGCTGATTTTTCTCTCCCAACTTGTGCCAAATGATTAGAATTTTCTTCCTAGATTCTTCCCAATTAAAAGCTCCGGCGTGCCAGCGTAGCAGCGTAGCCACATGTGTAGGTCCCAGTGCGTGGTGCGGAGTGGCCCTTGAGAATCCGTCGCAGAGTTCCACGGCATATGCAGTAGACGAAACCGTAGAACTGGACAGATGGGAGCACTAATGTAAACTGCAAACCAAGCACCTACTTTGGTTTGGAGGGGGGAGGACGGAAATGCTGCTGTGTTCGTTGGAATCCTCCTCCCGAGTTTTTATTTTTTTATTTTAGATTTTTTTTTTTTTTTTTTTATGATTTCTCAGCAGTCTTCCCTGGTCCTTCATCTCTGTCATATCAAGGGCTGGAGGTGAGGTCGCCATCTTGCTCCGACGGTTCTCGCCAATGAGCCGACGGGCAACCTACAGACTTAAGTTTCGTTGGATTTTGCTTTTTGTCATATTCTGTTTTAGCTCCGCGTCGTAGTTTATCATTATGGCTTGATTGCACAAATCAGTTCACGACAACAGTCTTTGTTTGATGTCAACGGTATATATATTCTCTCTTCATATCCACTATTTACAGGACATTAAACCCAGCCTATTCACCTGTATCAGCAATAGATAACCTGGACTGCTATTACCCAAGTACATTACCCGGATCATAATGTTCCACGATAATGATGAACTACGCAAACGTTGGTCACCACGGTTACGCCCCATTTGAGCACATGGACACAGCCGAGGGAGCCCTGTGGAGCGGGACAGTGTTTTTACTACGGGCTCAGCTGCTCACCTGTAAAACTAGTGAAGCACGGTAGAGACTGTTATACGGCATTAATATGAATGTGAAAGACTGTAAGGCCGGTTCAAGCTCGTGCTTCGAACGCAAAACGCCGTCAAACGCTGCCTTTCCCATGAAGACGAAAAGCTCCCGGGACGAACACCGCATATGTTCAGGCCTGTAGATAAACATAAACACGGAGAGATTTCAGCAAATACTGCCATTTTGGAAAAGTGGAGTCAGGAATTATACTTTTCAAAGCTGTCGTGTTGCTAGTTGGAATGTATCTATGCAGACTTGACTAAAATGCAGTTCAAAGGGCCCGTATTACGCAATTTTCTGATCTGTTTTAGAATGTTGTTTCCTCATCAAAAGCGTACTCAGAGTTGTTTTTTATTTGGATCATTTCAGCCCTGGAATTTTCAATCTCTACTGAACTATCACTACATGACATCATAAGTTGGAACAGAATATTTTGAGCTTTTAAGATGTAGAGAGGCTAATATTAAAGGGTATGTTTTTGTGACAGTAACAACATTCTAACGTTAAAGCTCACGATAGTCAATTTGGCGTAATATAGGACCTTTAAATAACATAGGCACAAAGGCTGGCTAGCTTACCAAAAACGTTATTGGTATTAAAAATGCCATTTTGTATGCAACATTGCATAGCGAGCGTCAACTTTGCCGAGTTGAAACGCTGCTATGCTAAGGCTACGAGCTAGCTTGTAAAGGTTTACAATCGCTAAACTTGATTTAGCATAGTTTTATCTTTGGCTGAAAAGGGTATTTAGTTCCAGTACATGTCAGTGTTTCCCGTAAACAAGAGACTATGGTGGCCCTAGCAGTCCAAGAAGAAGAAGATGAACAAAATTTGGTGATACAATGAGTAGTTTTTCACAACGTCTGAAGTGCCACGTTTTAGAGTAAACATGACTCTTGGTTAAAGCATTTCTGTGGAAATGTCTCATATTTTCAACCAGTTTCATAAATCTGCCCCATCACCAACTCTTCATTCAACAAGGTCGACAAAGGATAAACATTGAAGAATTTATCCACGACTATCAAGGAAAGAAAGACGAAAATGTAAAGGCGAACAACGACGACGCATTAGTGAACTACTCCTGAGCAAAATGAACGTTACGGTCATGAATAAAACATAAGTAATAAGTAATTCATTAATAAGTAGCTTGTAAACTCGGACTGATTCTAGAATTAAAATTAAAAATTGATTTCATTATGTAAATATTGGCATAGATAGATTTGTGCAGTTCGAATGTTACGGATGTTCAGATTATATGTCTGCACAAATCTATCTATGCTAATATCAACATCATGAAATAAACATTTTTAATTTTAATTTCTAAAATCAGTCTGAGTTAACAACTTATGTTTTATTCATGACCGTAATGTTAGTTTTGCTCAAGAGTTCACTAATGCTAGTTGTTGTTCGCTTTTACGCTTTTGTCTGTCTTACTTTGATAGTTCTAGATAAATTCTTCATGTTTATTCTTTGTTGACCGTGCTGGATGAAGATTTGGTGATGGGGCAGATTTATGAAGCTTTTGGGAAATACGCGAGACATTTCCACATATTTTGCCATAGAAAAGCATGAACCGGAAGTGACGTTTACCCTGCATCGCGGCACTTCCAGCTGTTGTGAAAAACTTTTATAACGCCTTATGCTGTCGAAACAATACAGATGAATTAGTTTATCAGTAGGTGCAATGAGTGACAATGATATTCCAAAAATGGTATTGAATAACATGATTCAAAAATGTGCCACCGTATTCTCAGTATAAACCTGCGTGAAACTCTGACATCTGCAGATTTACGGTTAGTTCTGTTCTCAGCAATTCTCCAAATTTAAGCACAAAAAAAGTTAACCGGGAAGCAAGTGCAAATGCTTTTAAGGTTAATTACTGAACAAAACAAAAGGAAAAAAAAAAAAAAAAAGACAAACATAATTCTTGGCTTCACTTTTCACCAATAGTTTACCAAACATTTTACCCCAGCTCCACGTCGGACTTCGGCGAAAGGCAGCGTTCGGCGGCGCGGGAAACGTCAAATTCCGGTTGGTACGGTGGACTTTTCACAGCAATCACAAAACGAACGAAACAACCGCTGGAGGAGGGAACTAATCACTGATTGGACGAGCCATTGGCCAACAGCAGCTCAGGAGAATGGGTGAGGAGGGGAGGGAGGGGGAGGTCGGGGGATGGAGCCGTCTGACAAGGTTAAATCAACTCTTCCACTGTGTGTCCCCCACGCTTCGTCTCCTCTCTTTTTTATTATTTAGATTTTTTGTTTTGTTTTTGTTTGTTATCTTTGACTTTTTGAGTTCGATCTCAACACATTGTACTTGAATTACCTCGTTTTGTGACCTCATGTTGTGTTTTTTTCCCTTTTGTTTCATGTGTTTTGCGATGCATTGATGATAGCGTACGGAGAGATATCGTAAGTGCCACAATTGAAGAGATTTTTACTTTTTTTTCTTTTTTTTTTGGTAATTTTTGTCTTTCTGTGTGCATTACTTGTTACCAAACTTGGTATAACCCCGCTTGTTACGGAGCTGGAAGTTTGGTCATGTTTATACAAGCTACCTCTTTAATTTTTGCGTTGCATAAGCACAAGAGTTGTTGTGTTTGCATTACTTCATCATTGCTACTTCATCTCATTGCTTGTGAGTTGATTTACGATTGTTTTTCAGAGTGTACATAGGCTAAAGTTAATGGGGTGTGAAATGGTGACAGTCAGAAAGTATGGGGTCGGATATGAGCCAAAATTTAAAGAATACAAAAATGATCTCCCCAGATAAAACCTCCAACTAAACCAACCAACCAACCAACCGATTTAGAAAAAAGCAAACAAAAAAAAGCAATTTTGAAGCCTTAAAAGTGATGCGTTTGAGGGAAGATTACGGAGTATGTATTTCCGCTTTTGAGAGAAGCTCGAAAGCAAGAATCTAAACTTGAAAATATGTGAATAGAATTGTAGTTTTATAATGTGAAAACGGAAAAAAATGAGCGAGATGGTTCCTCTTGAGAAAGCGCCCGGTTCTGGTTGGCGATGGCGGCTAGTGCGTTTGGACAATTGGAACTGCAAAGTGGTAATCAAAAAGATGTTTTTTTTCTCAGCTCTCTACAATAAATAAGTGTATTCCTGAACAAGAGCCAACAGAGGCAATTTGATATATAAAAATTGTGATATTTTTGTATTCAGTCAGTGTCAGTCCTTTTTCCATTTGTGGAGGGTTAAAGCAGGGCACAACTTTGTATGTCTCCTATGTTTTTTACTTTCAATGGGTGTGAATCATTTTTGGCCTTGCTCCTCTTTGATATTGTTGAAAAAAAATGTTGTATTGTAAAATTAAATGTCGCTTTTTCTGGATGTCAAAAACGCATTGTAGGTGAAGGACTAAATCTATCCGCCACAAATTTTACAACGTGCGTGTGTGTTTCCGTGAAATTAAAAAAATACAAGACGGCAAGGGGGCGCCGTCGAGATAATTATTCTTATCTATGTCATTTTTCAATCAGACTTGACTTGTCCGCGATTTTATTTTTGTTTTTTGTACTTGAAAAAAAAAAAAAAACAGAAGGGATGGCATGTCCCGCTCGTGGTGTCTTGCCATTTTATTCTTAACACTGTGAGCC